AGGCGCGGCGGAGGCGGTGGGGTGGTCCCGGGGAGCGGAGCGGGCTGGAGAGCGATGGGCTTTAACTGAGGGCGGGCGTTCAGAGGAGGGCAGCCGCTCTTTCGCTGCCGGGCGGCTGCAGCAGCCCGTCCTGCGTTACTGCCAGTGGTAGCGCTGGGGGCCGGGGCGGCCGGGCCTGCGAGGTGGCGGCTCCCCTTCTGTTCCTGGCTGCGTTTACGAGGAAAACAGAATTTGGTGGGTTTGGAAAGTTTGGACTGCGGAAGGTCTGGGGCATCGAGCGAAGGTGTATCCATAGCTCTGTGGAACTGACCTGTAGTGCCAAAAGTGCAGGCTCTAGGGTGGTGATTGCTATTCGAGCATGTTTGATTAATCTTTCCATTCTCTTACCTTTACCTTCCATCTTCTGGCGTTTGCATAGTGAACCTATCGTGCACACCCCTTCTCTCCACCCCCACGCTGAAATCAAAGGAGTTACAAGCAGTCGGTACCTTACAGGAGCAGAGCTCTCATGCTTCCTTATCATCTTTGAAACTCGTTACTGCTTTTTGCTGCAAAGGTCATATGCGCGTTGCACCCAGACTCAGTGATCATGTCTCTAGAGTGGTAGTAAGATAAAGTTGTCCCTCATCTTAACCGAGGATGTAAGTACCTGCCTCTCATCACCTCACATCTCTTATGTCTACCCTGAAACTGGAAATGTCGAGCGTAGCAAATGCAGAAATATCTGAACTTGTGTTAATGTAATTAGCTCAGTATCAAGAAGAGCAAAGCCACAATTATTCAAGCTTTGATACAGGCAAGTTGCACCTGAATAGACCGCGAGAGGCTGAGGTAAACTTGTACGGAAGTACTTGGCACCATGACCCCACTGACACCAGTTCCATGCTGTCAAGATGAGAATTAGGTCATTATCAAGATGAGAACTAGGCACTGAACACTTACCATCAATCAAAAATTGCACCTCTGCAGATATTTTCTGTGACTGGGTCAGAGACTGATAAATATCAGCGCTTATTCTGCTGGATTTCTCAGATGGGTATCACCGTAAAACAATTAAGATTGGCACTAATTTCTCCTTACCTTTCTTTGAAAATCACTGCTACCTCTGCAAGACAGCTTGCATATTACTACTAAAGTAAATAAAAGCAAAATGGCTTTGAAGCATTATGAACTTGTTTATATGCAAGAGACATACTATTTTGGAGCATATGCTGTCACTAATTCCTTTTTCAATATGAACATTTGCCTTCTGGTTTTGAGAGTGGGAATCAGTTCTGCTGGAGCGAGCAGAAGAGTGTATTGTCGTCATGGTATTATCAAACTTGGGTCAAAGTTGTTGGGTTCCTATGGTAAATAACAGAATGGAAATACATGGTCATGAATTCTGTAAGTCTGCAGAGGGTGTCCAAAGGAAATAATGATACTCCCATCTTTGTAATATTATTTAGGCTGAAGAAGCTATTAGAAAAATATGCTGCAGGAAGTCTTTCAGCAGTAGCAGAACATAGAGTACAGCTGAAAGTTTCAAATCGCACAAGGAGTTAGGCGCTTAAACACTTTTTGAGTCAGCACTTATTTAAGGATAGAATTTTGCCTAACAATCATAATACCTTTGAGATCCCATTCTAAGTAAGTGATTTATTTTAGTGGATATTTTCCATTTCCAACCCACAGATGACTCTTCAGCTGGTAGGTTTTTTGTTACCCACTCACAACAAAATTCTTACTGTTCTTTGCACTGAAGAAACACAGAACAACTAAGGTCCCAATGTACTAGGCAGCATAAAAATACCAGGGTCAGCCACAAAATGTTTACAGAAAATCACAGCCTAGTCAATATTAAAAAAGTTACTGCATGTGAATGACTGTATAACTCATGGAAAAGGGTAAACAGCATTCCTGGTTGTTGTAAGCTATTAGCAAAAGCTGAGTTTTTGCATTAGCAGTTAGCATCAATTCTGTTAAAGCCACCTCCATCCAAGATAATGCTTCTGTCTGCAAGTACTGTGTATTACTATTCCTCTGTATTGGTAAAAGCCAAAGGGCTGACATTATGTGACTAAATACAGCATCACACCATTAGCTCTCATGAAAGCATGGCATGTCCTAATTATTGAAAGGAAACAGAACAGGTACTACCAGGTACAGGAAGGATAAATGCATAACTAAGTGCAAAGGGGACCTTTAGTGCCTTTGTTTTTCAGCTGGGCAAAATTTAAAGTTCATCCAGAAGGGGACACTGAGAAATCAAGTCTTCCTGGTTTAACAGATGGGTTATAAGTAAATCCTCAAAAGTGTGATAAGAAGTTAGTTGTGGCACTTACTCAGTGTGGTTATCATCGTCCTCTGCCATCGAGAGTCAGGTAAACCTGTAAAATACTTAATTTTGTAAAAATTCTTGGGACACAATCCTGATGTTTTGTTCAAGAGTGTCTTCCCGTGGCTGGTGTGTAGAAATGAAGTACTACATAGAGCAGCTTCAAATTGGCAACTGATGTTCACCCAGTGGGCAAAAAACCATCTATGTGGTCTAATAATAGATTAATACTAGAGAATTTCATTTTTTAAAAACATTCAATTCAAAAGCTCTTGTCATACAAACTCATAGTCATGCCAGCAGAATGTGATACCCGTTTTACAGTTACTCTGCAAGAAAGCATGAAGAGTTTGTGCTGTGTTCTGCCTCACTGATTTCTCGAAATACACTACACATGAAAAAAGTATGCAAAGTAATAGTCCTTCCTTTGTTCCTTTAGAACAAGGTAGAGTTAAGAAACAGAAATGCAAGCTTCCTTCCTGCTTCTTATCCCTGTAGACATGAGAAATCATTCTCTGCTTAGGCTTTCAGTTCTGTTTTGAAGCTTCAGCAATTTTGCAATTGATAAAACTTTTAGGTGATGGGAACATCTAGACTGAATTTTCATTCATCAGAAGCCAAGTATGATGCAAGCAGAGACAGCCAAACAGCTCTGATGTGCAGCTCCCTATCCATCTTGAGGTCAGTAATTCTCTGTCATAAAACTAGGAGGAATTTCAATATATTTTTTTCTCTAGTTAACCAAGGATTTGCATATTGTGAAGGTACAACAGTTGCACATCTTTGAATACTAGCTGACCAACAGCTCCTGCTTTCATTTCCCATCACTGTCATTTAAGGTAGTTTTAGCTCATGCAAGCAAGAGTGCAAGCATACTAAGTGTAGCAAGTGATGGATAATCTCTGTTACCGTCCATCAGGGTAAGAGACGGAAAAGTTCTCCCTTGAAGGTAAGTGTTAGAATGGAGATGAGACATTGATCTTTTTCCTCCTTGCTTTACAGAATTACTTGTATGTATGGTAAAGTAACTAATGCATGTTTTATGGTACAGGAAAAGGGAACAATGAATAAATTCAAGTTTCTGCTGACTTGTAGCAATGAGCAGGATGATGACTTGATCAAAAATATCGATACCTCACAAGCGAATGGTGATGGTTTTGACAAATGAAGAATACTATGCTCTTCTACTTCAAATTAATCACAAATTAATTTTGTTCACACAAAACTAATATTTGTCTATCTTTTGCACATCTGGGTTTGATAGCAGTCCATTCCCAGCACAGCCGCCATCTGCCCAGGGATTCCTACTAGCAGTGGAACATCTGTGCACCAAACCATTTTAATAGGTTTGGGATGAATCAAGAATAGCTGGAGAATGTACCATTTTGCTCTCCCAGAAGGCTGCCTCCTCCTATAGGAACTTACGCCTGATAAAGGATGAGGAAAATGAGGCCAGGTCTATAACTACCATTACTGTTAACCCTTCTGTTACCACTGGGTAAGAATAGACTCACATGGTTTAAAGTTCCCCTCCATGAGACAGCAAGAAAATGAAGAGCAGGAAAGGTACGGGAGGATAGTTGTGAGACTTGCCAGCACGTTTGAATTGATATTACTGAAACATGACGTGTGTGACTGGATTGTTTCTGTCGCCGTCTACAAGCTGTTTAGGAAAGACAAAATGAGTAATAAGGTGTGAAGGAGTAAGACTATACAAACTAAAAATATTGCTGCTTGTATCTCAGAATTGCAGAATCTTAACTGCCCATAAATAATTGCTAACAAAGCCTTCATGGTACTTCTGTTATGGATCTTCACTCATCACTAAATCATACCAGAGAAGGAAACAAGGTTTTTATTATGCATAGCTGCATAATGAAAAGTTGGGATGCTATAGCAGATTTATTCTCTTAAGCAAGCACAACTTAAATTACATTTCCAAAAGCAAATATATGAATTCTGTAACACAACAGGCATTGCACCCAACATGTGGTAACTTTTTGCTGGAACTCACTAGGAAAAAAAAATACTGGACTAAAAATTAGTTGTTGTCTAGAACTAATAATGATGAATGAAACCAAGTAACATTCAATTTGGGCAGATAACAGACCCATTATTATATCTCTATGGATCTGCAGTGCTTCAAAGAATTTAATGTTTTTGTATTGAATGAAATTATAGGAAAAAGGGAGGAAAAATATTTAAAAAGCATAAAGAAGACTTCATTGTCAAATAAATGAGGGTTCCAGAGTCAAAAGACTATGGGCTAAAACCCCATTGCAAAGTGAAGACAATTAAAAGCCAGACATCAATAGAAAAATTAGAAGTTATGAAATGTAAAAAAAAAAAAAAAAAAGGGAAAAATCCTACCAAAAGGGTATTAGGAACAAAAAAGGATGATAACAGTCCTTAACATTCATTATTACATGAATAAAGTAACTGCAAAAAAGAAAAATTCAATAGCAATTTCTGTCCTATATCTGGAAGGGCTCAGGGTGGCCTACGAGAGCAGGTAGGGATTAATGAGGCAAATTACTCTTTGGATGATGGGCTTAAACCACAAACAAGTACTTTTTTCAAATACAAGTTGGGGATCGATAAA